TTGACTTTTTACCCAAAAAAGAAAAATTACAAGCAGTTTCAATGGTATAAAAATAACCAAAAATGCCAGCTTATATGTTTATGATTTTTCTTCCCAAGATGCGTGTGCCTCTAGACACAAAAGCCAGAAGAATAAATGAGTTAAGGGAAAGTAATCTTACCTGGGGGATGTGGCCCAGCAGGACTCCCGAGAACACGAGGCAGAGCAGATCTCTCTCCTTGTCCGCCGTGAGCACAGCCTCTGTGTAAGGCAACACAACTCAGTTCTGATGCAAACACCCACAGTGAGCGTCAGACTCCTCGGGTTAAAGGGCAGAGGCCCCACCAAGACTTCCTCCCTCTGAGATGCCAGCCACACAGTCAGGGATGCCCAGGCCACCTGTACATCTGACCAAATGACTACAAGGCCAGGCGGTCCCCATGACTTCCCTTAGTTTCAAAAACTCACTAGAATGACGGACTCACTGAACTTAAGAAAGAACCATCCTTATAAATACAGCTTTATTATCAAGGATCCAAATCAGGACCAGACAAATGAAGAATTACACAGGGCGAAGCCTGGAAGTGCCATGAACCCCGAGCTTCCATGCCCTCCCTCCGTGGAATCGGGGTGCATTCTCCCAGCACATTAGTGGGTCCACCAACCAGGAAGCTCCACCGAGTGGTGGAGTCACTGGCCACATGATGGAACTCCGTCTCCAGCTCCCCTCTCCTTCCCCGTGGTCAGGGTGACTCAGAACCTCAACCTTCTAATCACATGGCTGGTCTTTCTGGTGACCAGTCTCCATTCTGAGTCATCTTGTTAGGACAAACTCTGGTGTGATCCCAGAGGCTCATGAATAACAAAGTCACACTTATTACTCAGGAAATTCCTAGGGTTTAGTCTCTGTCCCAGGACTGGGGACAAAGGCCAGGCAAACTCTTTATTATGCGTAACCAGCTTCATTCTCTGGGACTCCATGTCATAGAAGAGAGAAAATCAGGCAGGTGACATCTCAGAGACTGAGCTTCTGTCTAAGAGCCATACATAAGAGAATAATTAAACCAGTCCTGATATGGTTTAATAGATCAAATAATGCTATTTAATAGCATTTAAATAGATCAAACGCTCAAATTCAAAATGTTGCGTTTAAACCACAATACTGTTAACTGGCAGGTCTAAAGTGTCTTGCCCCCCCCCCATAGATTGTGGGGTCCTGAGAAGAATCAAACCAGTTTAGAGGCTATGGAACAGATTAGCGCCAATCAAACTTATCAAAGAGATTATATAAATCTGAATAATGACACATCAATATACAATCAAGAATATTTTGATTAGGTAATTGAGAATCATTGTACCAACTTGGTGCCTTCCACATTCAGGGCCAAATTAACAAGACAATAGTGCAGAACAGTGGCAAAACCCTACACATTCTCATTTTTTGACCCTTTTTCGTTCACTCCAGGTGTACTTTCACCCTTCTGTTTTCTTTTCTTTTTTTCTTTTTATTGAAGTATAGTCGGTTTACAATGTTGAGTTAATTTCTGGTGTAGAGCATAGTGATTCAGTTGTGTGTATTTTATATATATATACACACATATATATACCTTTTCATATTTTTTTCATTATAAGTGTCAACTGAAATAAAATGCCCAACCTAAAAGTTGAGAGTTATGTCTTATTTGGCGGACTTTCTGAGGACTCAGTCTCAGGACACGAGCTCTCAGATCACTCGGAGAGGCTGTTCTAAAGTGGCAAGGTAGAAGCCAGGATCCATGAGTTTTTGCAACAAAGACCACATCAAAATATTACTGTCAGTTAAAGGAAACCAGACATCTCAAGTTAAGGAAATTGGCGCTTTTCTATGTATGGGAGGGTGTGCAGGTCTGGGCTCGCTGAAATCATCCCTTTGATGTGCACCCGGCTGTCTAGGGCCAGTACCCTGTTCTTTCCCGTCCTGAGCTCCCTCAGGGGGCACCGCTGGGGGTGGCTGCAGAGGCCGGGACGCCTGCTTGTCTGCATCCTGAGTTCTCTCTG